TTTATGCATTATAAGGTAATTGACATTTACCTTATAAATTGAGGAAATTTTTTCCTCAATTACTTTGTTGTTGTGTTTGCTTTTAAATAGGAAGTTCAAAGATTTTTTTTTTTTTTTGGATTTTTCGAGACAGGGTTTCTTCGTAGCTTTTTGGTTCCTGTCCTGGAACTAGCTCTTGTAGACCAGGCTGGCCTCGAACTCACAGAGATCCGCCTACCTCTCCCTCCCGAGTGCTGGGTTTAAAGGTGTGCGCTGCCACCGCCCGGCTGAAGTTCAAAGGTTTTGTCTTCTAGTTTTGTGTCCTATTTTTTGATGAATGCATTTATAAGCTGTGGAAACTTTCTGGTATAATATTTATAGTGTTTTGTGTATAAAGTAATATCACCTCTACATAAAGATGCTTTGACTTCTTCCTTTATATTTGTGTCCCTTAATATCCTTCGGTTTTCTACTGTTCTAGCTAAGACATCAAGTACTGTACAGAATCGTTAGGGAGACAGTGGACATATTTGCTCCTGATTTTACTGAAAATGCTTTAAGTTCCCCTCCATTCATGTTCATGTTCACTGTTGTACTTCTGTAAATTGTCTTTATTATTTTGAGCATTATTCTAATTAACCTGCCTTTACTGGGTATTTTTCCCTTGCGGCTTTTAATATTTTTTCTTTGTTGTGTATGCTTCGTGTTTTGATTACTAGGTGTCACAAGGAACTTTTTTTCTGTTCCTGCCTATTTGATACTCTGCAAGCCTCTTGGTCCTTGATAGGCATCTCTTTCCTTATATAGGGAATTTTTCCTCTATGATTATGTTAAAGGTACTTTCTGTGCCTTAATCTGAGTCTCTTCTGTTTTTCAAAAGCTTGATGTTTTTAAAGTATTCAAGAGTTCCTGCAAGTTCCATTCTTGAGTTTTTCAGAATTGACATTTTCTATGATTGAATGATCCAAATATTCTGCCTTGCCTTCAAGCCTGGATATTTACTTCTAGTTGACCCAATCAGTTTCCTTAAATATTTTTTATTTGAATTATACACTGTAAGGTTTTTGCAGCCCTGTTCATAATATACAAGCCATGAAACCAACCTAGGTCTCCAAAAACAGAAAAATGGATAAAGATAATGTGTTATATGTACAATGTGGAATTTTTTTTTTTTGTTTTTTCAGACAGGGTTTCTCTATATGGCTACCCCGAATCTCACTCTGTAGGTCAAACTGGCCTCGAACTCGCAGATATCCACATGCCTCTGCCTCCCAACATTCTGGAATTAAAGGCACGTGCTCTACTGCCTGACCTGCTTTTTATCCATAAAATAGTGTTATTATGAAGGAAAGTAAAATAATGGAGGATAATCCTTTTAAGTGAATTAAGTATGTCTCTAAAAGATCAATATGGGATGCATTTTCTTACTTTATATGTACATAAAAATATATGTGTAGAAACGGACTTTCTAAGGGGTCAAAGAACTACTGGAGAGATGATAGCAAAATGGAAATGAGACTGAAGTCTAAGGAGAGATGTGCTCAGAGTATCTGAGAGTCTTGTATGAAAATGTTATTATATAAAGCAATATCAAGTACAGTCCAAAATATTGCTACAGAAAGACAATAAGAACTTCTTCAACATGCATAATTTTTTGCATTTATTAATGATTAAGTAGAGGATTTGTATAATTATAATTTTGATGTCGGATTTTAGGTTTTTCATAAAGAAAAAATCATGACTGAATATGTTATATACCAGAATGTACTAAATGATAGGACTATATTCAAGGCTATTTAAGAAGTTGCAAATTTTGCCTTAATTTCAAGTTAAATTTCTTAAGTAATTTACATTTTTCTTTACATTTGAGAGGTTCACACATGTATACAAGCATATTAATCCCTCATTTCCATTTCCCCCCATAAATTTTCCCTATATCCTTCATAATATGTTCTTTACCCAGTTTCATATCTCTTTTCTCACAGTCCATTGAGTTCATTACTGTTGCCCATATGTATTTGAGTTTGGGGCAAGCCCTAGCAAATGGGAATGCTCTCAGTGTTCATATAATCAAAAGGGAATGATTCTCCCTTCCTGAGAAACTATATATTGCAAAGTGCTGCTCATGAAACTCAAGTCAGTGACACAACCATCAATTTTTAAAATTAAACATCTGTCTTGTACAACACAGTCTGAAATATATTAATTTCACATTTACATGCTGACAAATTATATTAAGAAAAAAATGAAAATATTTTTCTTCCTGAAATTAAACCATTAAATTTCCATCTGTACATATGGTAGCATCATAGTAATTCTTATTGTCAAATCCAGCAGTCAAATCCAAGCCAATCCAAATATTTTTGTCTGCATTCTTTGATGTTTCATTGTATGAAAACATTTGCAGCCACCAATTTCTAATGTTATATGCTCAGAAACCAGGCCATGCTGAAGCTACAATATGTAATTTGGATAAGCACAACAAAATATACCTGATTCACTACATGTATGCACTGTTTTGATTATTTTATCTTAAGAAATTTTTACAGTTGCTACATTTTTCTTGACATCACAATAAGTTATTTGATCTGTAGCTTAAGAACTTATGTGTACAACGATCATACAGGTACTTAAGTTAGATTATTTTGACCATTTTCTGAAGAGCTTTCTTGATGTCCCTGTTCCTCAGACTGTAGATGAAGGGGTTTATCGTGGGAACCACAATGGTATACATTATTGAAGCCACCATGCTTTCCCTGGAATAACTAGAAACAGATGAACTAAGGCACACACCAAGGCCTGTTCCATAAAATAAGCAAACAACAGACAGGTGTGATCCACAGGTAGAAAAGGCTTCCCATACAATGTACTTCCCATACAATGAGGGAACTCTAAAAATGTAGGAAATAATTTTATAGTAGGAGTAAAAGATTCCTGAGACAGGGAGAAATCTTTAATAAATAAATAAATAAATAAATAAAATAAAATAACTTATTCATCATAATTCCAAATTGTGTGTATGCCTGTAGGCCAGAAGAGGGCACCAGACCCCATTACAGATAGTTGTGAGCCACCATGTGGTGGCTGGGAATCGAACTCAGGAACTTTGGAAGAGCAGGCAATGCTCTTAACCACTGAGCCATCTCTCCAGCAGGAGTTATTCAAGATGAATTTCATTCCTTTTACAGAGGGTGAACCCCAAAGCATGTGTGACATATATAATCAGTATTCAAACTGACATGTTGTCGCTGGACATACTGCCTTTTTAAATATTTATTTATTTATTTATTTATTATGCATATAATATTCTGTATGTGTGTGTGTGTGTGTGTGTGTGTGTGTATGTCTGCAGGCCAGAAGAGGGCACCAGACCTCATTACAGATGGTTGTGAGCCACCATGTGGTTGCTGGGAATTGAACTCAGGAACTTTGGAAGAGCAGGCAATGCTCTTAACCACTGAGCCATCTCTCCAGCCCCATACTGCCCCCTTTATAAATTAGCACCATAATTGTTTCTGGTTTATAGGCACTCTGGTGCTTTTTAACTTTTTTTTGTTTTCCGTTTTTCAAGACACGGTTTCTCTTTGTAAGAGCCCTGACTGTCCTGGAACTAGCTCTTGTAGACCAGGCAGCCCTCGAACTCAGAGAGATCCGCCTGTCTCTGCCTTCTGGGTGCTGGGATTAAAGACATGCACCACCTAAAAGCTTAAGTGAACTTTGAGGTTTGTTGTTGTTGTTTCAGGTTTTATTTTGTTAAAGAGGACATGACCATGACGGTGGGAGGGGAAGGTGATAGGGTCTGGGAGGAAGTAGGGAGAGGATATAATGATTAGTACACACTCACACACACAGACACACACACACAGACACACACACACGCAAACGTATGTATATAATACATTGCACACATATATTAAATTCTCAAAGAATAAAAATGATTTTATTTTTTATTATTTATTTATTTATTTATTTATTTATTTATTTATTTATTTATTGTGTATACAATATTCTGTCTGCATGTATGCCTGCAGGCCAGAAGAGGGCACCAGACCTCATTCCAGATGGTTGTGAGCCACCGTATGGTTGCCGGGAATTGAACTCAGGACCTTTGGAAGAGCAGGCAATCTCACCAGCCCCTAGAAATGATTTAAAAAAAAAGGGGAGGGGGGTACATAGATGGATCAGTGGTTAAGAGCTATTAATCACCATTCTTATAGAGGCCCAGTGCTCACAAAAGGTCAGTAGCTTCAGCTTCAGGGGACCCAACACCCTGTTTTAGCCTCCGCGGGCATTGAATGCACATTGTTCACAAACTTGCAGACAAAACAGATCAAGTAAGAAAATTTCCTAAGAGTTGGGAGGGGAAGAGTACAGAAATGGCTCCGCAATTAAGAGCACAAAGGGATCTTGTGTAGGACTTGAACTCCCTTACCAGCACCAAAATCATGGTAGTTCACAACTGCGTGCACTCAACTAAATAAATCGTAAAAGATTAACTCCCTCTCCCTACCTTCCTGTGAGAGTCCAGTCTCCCTCAGAACCCGCCAAATCCCATTAAACTTCACCTGCACGCAGGAGGCAGAGGCAGGCGGATCTCTGTGAGTTCGAGACCAGCCTGGTCTACAAGAGCTAGTTCCAGGACAAGCTCCAAAGCCACAGAGAAACCCTGTCTCGAAAAACAAACAAACAAACAAAATAAATAAATAAATAAACAAACTTCACCTGATCCAAAGCAACACAGACAAACTCTGTCTCGGGGGAAAAAAAAAATCAAACTTTACCTGGTCCGCTAGCAGACAGCGACCTGGTGGCTCTCAGGCTCGGCATAATTCGGCAGAATTCGGATATCTCCGGGGATTCCTTAACGGAGCGCGCCGCCCGTAACCCGTCCCTTTAAGTGGGACTTTTCTCATGCTGGACCGCCCCGCCCACCAAGTTGGTACGTCATTCACCTGCGCCACCCGGAAGCCGTGGTTCATAGTAACAGTTCTTGCAGGTGGCCTTAAGGTAAGCTCTCAGGCTCGGCAGAATTCGGCAGGGTTCGGATATCTCCGGGGATTCAAGAACGGAGCGCGCCGCCCGTCACCCGTCCCTTTCAGTGGGACTTTTCTCATGCTGGACCGCCCCGCCCACCCAATTGGCACGCCATCCAACTGTGCCACCCGGAAGCCGTGGTTTCCCCTCCTCCGCACGCAGGCGACATCATGGCGACGCCCCCCAAACGGCGGGCCTTGGAAACGGTCGGAGAGAAAGTGCTGCGGTGCGAGGCCTTCATCAGTGATGTACTGCAGCGAGACTTGCAGTGAGTGACGACGCGGATCCTAGGCGTGACGTAGTTTGAGAAATTCCACGCGTGACGTAGTGGGTGGGACGGAATTCCCTGACAAACTTCTGGATTGGCCGGGAAGAGGGGTTGACGTCGGGGCTATGATTGGGTTAAACATGGTCCTTGTAGGACAGCCTTTGATGCTGTTTGTCGTATTTAAATTAAAATTAAAATTAGTCATTACGAACCCACAATATTTCAGACTGGGCTATTTAACCATTATTTATAAACAAGTTGTACCTCACCTCTCTTCCCTAGGCTTTATGAACTTTTCCTCATCAGTGAGATGGGGAAGTTTATATTGCCTTCGTAATGGGGTCTTTTTGAGTTTTAGATGTATCAACCCGGGTAAAGAATGTAACCCAAAGCCGAGCGTGATATAACACAGGACTGTAATTCCAGCACGAGGGAGGCAGAAGCAGGCGGAGCTTCAGAAGTTGGAGACCAGCCTGGGCTGTAGACTGACTGTCTCAAAAAGAAAAAAATTGAGACTAAAGCCAGGCTCAGGCTCTGTGGTGTGTGCCAGGAGTCCTATCTAGTGGTGAGGTGGGAAAATTTATTTCTTTAGCCAGAATGTTCAAGCCAGCCTTGACAATAGAACATGGTTCTATTAAAAACTAAGAATTAAAAAAAGCTCACTGTGATGACGTTCTTGCAATGGGTAAAGCAGGAGGACCCAGAGCTCAAAATTATCCTCAGTTGCATTTCAGAGTTGAGTAGAGCAGAGACTCTGAGACTATGTTTCAAAAAAAGAAGAAGAAAAAAGCTAGCAGGATGGCTTGCCTTGCCTCCAATACCAATGCCCTGAGCTAGATCTCTGGGATCTAGTAAAAGGAAAAATCTTCCAAAAACTGTCCCCTGACTTACATGTGTGTACCATGTCACCAATACATGTACACAAAATAAATACATTAAGTAAGAATACTTTTTTTTTAATGCACATAAACCCAACTGCTGTTATATTAAGCCTGAGAGAAATACTAGCCTGGGAAACTCAGCTCTAGTCTCAGAAAATAAAACAAATAACCTGGATAGTTGTTTTGAAAAAGGAATTTTGCTCCAGTGCCTGAAACACAATAAAGACTCAATAACTAGATGATTACCATTGCTGTCATTATTAATCTGAACAGTTAGGTGTTCAGAACTAGAGCTGTATGATCATCCTAAACAAGATGGCGGAGAGGAGAGATATATTTAGGGTGAAGATGGGACGTTTTAATTAGCATAATGCGCTGAGTAAAATGCAGTATTTGTAATAAATAGTATTAAAGTATACAGTGCTTACCCATTTGGGTGACATTTAAAACACTTTAAAATCAAGTCATAGTAAACACTGGATTCTAATGACTCCTAGGAGGGGAAACCAAATCCCAAACAGATTTCCTACTTGCCAAAGACACATTGCTGGTAAGAGGTAGAGCTCAGGATGAAATACAGTCTGACTTATATTTTCTACGTATCAGAAAGGTGCTGGATCATCGAGACAAGGTATATGAGCAGCTGTCTGTATACCTTCAACTGAGAAATGTCATTGAGCGACTCCAGGTAAAGGCCTTTAAATTGGGTATCCGTGTGTGTATGTGTACAAAAAAGGAAAGAAACCCCAGAACAAAACCTTTTACCTGCCCTAAAAATTGGCCACTGACACCCTACTTCTTTTCTCCTGGCCCTACAGGAAACTAACCATTCGGAGTTATATATGCAGGTGGATTTGGGCTGTAACTTCTTCGTTGACACAGTGGTGTGAGTGTATTCCCTCCCCTCTGAGTTTCTCCCTTCTTTCTGCAACAAGTATTTCTTTTTTTTTTTTTTATTATGTACACAACATTCTGCCTCGATGTATGCCTGCACACCAGAGGAGGGTGCCAGATCTCAGTACAGATGGTTGTGAGCCACCATGTGGTTGCTGGGAATTGAACTCAGGACCTCTGGAAGAGCAGTCAGTGCTCTTAACCTCTGAGCCATCTCTCCAGCCCAAGTATTTCTTAATATTTTCTATATATTAGATTCTGGTGACTTTTCTTTTTCTTTTTTTTTTAATTTTATTTATTTATTAAAGATTTCTGTCTCTTCCCCGCCGCTGCCTCCCATTTCCTTCCCCCTCCCTCTGGTGACTTTTCTATTGCATTAAGATATAAGCTACATGCTGTGGGTGTGACAGTGAATGAACAGAAAATACCTTCTCTTACAGAGCATTCACTTTGGGGAATTGAAGGGAATAGGAAACATCTTAAACTGTCCGATATGCTAAATGATAATAAAGACTTCCTCCACTTCCTCTGACTTCTTTCCTCAGCCCAGATACATCACGCATCTATGTGGCCCTGGGATACGGTTTTTTCCTGGAGTTGACACTGGCTGAAGCTCTCAAGTTCATTGACCGAAAGAGTTCTCTCCTCACAGAGTGAGTTCATTCCATGAGGATAGTATGTAAAACCACCTACATTGGCTCGGGGTACAGGGCAGTGGTACAGCATTTGCCTAGCGTGTGTAAAGCCCTGGGTTCTATCCCTAGCACACACCACACAGAAAGGCACACACAAAATACATAAAAGTCAGGTATGGTGATAAAGCAAGGCCCTATCTAAAAATAAGTAAATAAATAAATAAACATCACAGAATTTAATAGTCTACCCTTTTCCCCCCATGACTACAGGGAATGGAACTTAGAGAACCATACTACCTTCCTCTTTAGAGCTAGGACTCTAAAGAAAAGTGAGAATGCAAAGTTCAACCTTTGCATAATAAACAATAAATGTTTTTTGTATCAATCCCTTCACACATTTATTGAGTACCTTGTGTATACCAGGTTGTGTGATTAGTGTTGAGAAGAAAAGAGTCTTACATTCTAGGACTATGCTGTTGTATGTACATATATCTATGGATATCATGGATGAGGTTTCAACCCATGAGTCAGTAACGGTCACTTAACTATCTGCGATTATTTCTGCTTATTGACATCTTTTATTCACAGAAGTTTCTGTTTTCTCAGCACTCTAAACCTCACATGCCTGTACCCACACGTGCGGAGATAACACCCTCTTCTGTTGCTGTCTGTCTTATTCTTCACCAAACCTTAGAGTTTGCCGTTTGGGGGCTTCAGCAAGCTCCTGTCCTATAGTTAGAGGTGTTTTTACATTGTTACTGGGGATCCAAGCTCAGGTCCTTATGCCTGTACAGCAAATGTTCTTGTCCACTGAGCCACCTTCCTAGCCTTAACACATGCTTTAAGCATTCCCACTTTTTTCTTCACTCAGTTGTCTTGTACAAATAATACTTTCTCAACAAGTTCTGTGACCTAACTTCAAAATTGCAACCCCTAGCCCTCTTGACTTGCCCCTCCACTTTAAAAAATTAATATTACTGTGTGTGTGTGTGTGTGTGTGTGCGCGCGCGCGCATGCAGGTATGTGCTCATATGCACTTGTCTGTAGGTGTATGTGCTATATATAGCATGCAGGTGGAGATCAGAGAATAGTTTTATAGAGTTGGTGCTCTGATTTCAGGGATTTTATGAATAGAACTCAGATTTCCAGGCTTGTGTGGCAAGTACCTTTGTCTGCTGAGCCATCTCACTAGCCATCTTCTAGTTTTTCTGTTTTTCCAGTGTCTTTCTCATGTTCATTGTCTTTTATAAGTAATTAATAAGCATCATTTACATTTTTACAGGCCTAATACTTAAAGCCAAGGTCTCTTGTATACTAAGCAAGAGTTCTGTTGCTGAACTGTGTCCCCAGCCTAGGTTTATAACCTGGCATTGTAAAGGGGAAAGTTTAAACTGTAGATGCCCAAAATAGTGTAAAGCACAAAATTTCTGTTGAATGAAGAGTATTGTTTCAATACACTAGAAGCATATTGAAGGGTTTATCAAAAGTTACCTATGTGGGTAGTGGTGGGCAGAGAAAGTGTGGGTTCCAGATGAGTTATGGTTTTGTGTAGGGAAAAACTAGTTTAGGAGAGTCGTTTGAAATATTATAGGTAGTGTTGTAGCTTGTCACATGTAGAATAGTTTAGAATAAGTATGAAGGGGCGGTGAGCAGTCCACTTAGATAAATATACACTTACAAACACGAACATCTCCAATGTAAAATTTCCCCTTGGTCATATTTATTCCTGCATTCATTTTGCCTCGAGTTTCTTCCTTTAAGGTTTCAGTACTTATTCTATTAAGCTTTCTAGAGTTTTGAGTTTTAGTAGACCTGAGTGAGAGCTGCTGAGATTTCTAAATTTTGGTGATCAAACAAATTGGCAAATAGTTTGATGAAGGGCAGTGTAATTCCAAAGTAGTGGCCATTTAGAACAAGTTCAGTTTTTATAGCAAGTTTTCCTCCTATGACACAGGGTTTCAGGGTCTTTAATTTTTTTTCTTTTTGAGAATTGATGATTTTTCTCAAAATGTGGTATTTGAAGTTATCAGTACCTATCAGAAAAACTCTTTGCCTGGTCTTTCTAATCTGTTGACATGCTTTCTACCGGTGTGATGAAATATGTGCTTGACCTCATATTGCTCCGTTATCACTAATAGAGCTGTCTCAAACTTTCATCATTCTAGATTAGGATTTGAGTCTACGTAGTTGAACTTTCTTTTTAAAACTTGATTACTTGGGATATACTTTATAGTAACATATTTTCTGGTTGCTTTTTGTATCCCAAACTGCCTGCCAGTACTTAATTGTTTTTAATGTATTTCTTTGGTTATTATTATTGCTCTGTGTGTGTGTGTGTGTGTGTGTGTGTGTGTGTGTGTGTGTCACACATGTATATATAATCTACTGAGTCCATTTAGCTTTGTTTGTATGTACATGTGTCCAGGGTTGACTACTTGAGATTGGGCAACCTATGTGGGAGTTTGTCCCTAAAGGAGACTGATTCTGCCTCTTTCAGCAGGCTTTGATCACTTGTAGTTCTTCATCTCAAGGTAGGCCATTGTGTAATTTCCCCTTTCCACCCTGACATGCCAAATGGTGGTGTCATTATGCTGACTTTATTCATATTCTTGGAAATTCATAGGTACAGCTTTCCTAGTTTGTCCAGGGAATATCTAACAGCAGACATTCTGAGCCTCTGACTCTTATAATCTGTTCACCCTATCTCTATGATTCTCCCTGAGCCTTAGGTATAGGGGTTACATTACAGATGTATCAGTTGGGGTTGGGCACCTCACAGACTCTTATTCTCTGCATTTTGGCCAATTGTGGATCTCTGTGATAGTCTCCATCAGCTGCAAAAAAAAAGTTTTTTTTTTTTTGGTTTTTCAAGTACATACATATGTTATAAACATAAAATAGTGTTTACCTATGGCCATTTCAATCATCCTCATGTTTTTTAGCCCTCCTCTGTCCCTCTTCCTCAGTGTTTTTCTCCCTCTCCCCTCCCCAACTTTTCCCTGTTCCCCATCATAGCACCTGTGCCATCCCACCCCATTCTCTACAGTTTCTACTCCTCCCTATCCCCTGGTCCCTTTTTACTTTCCTGGTTTCTGTGGTTACTCCAGCTTATATACTCACATCTAAAGATTCAGAGTTAGCATCCACAAATAAGAGAAAACTTGCAATGTTTATCTTGCTGGGTCTGAGTTACCTCACTCCGTATAATATGCTGTGGTTTCATCTATTTACCTGTAAACTTCTTAATTTCACTTTTCTGTGTAGCTGAACAGAATTCTGTTGTGTATATGCACCATATCTTTATTATCCATTCATCTAGTGGATGACATGTATATTGTTTCCATTTCATAGCTGAGAGTGAATAGAACAGCTCTGAACATGGCTGAGAAAAGGTATTCTTGTTCTCCAGCAGTAATGCTATGCTTCATACCCTGTCCTAATCATAGACTTAAGTATTATTTAAGGATAAAGATATTGGGTTCCTTTGAATGCAGCAATCTTCATTCATTCAACAGCCATTGGGTCCCCACTCTGTGTCATATACTTCTTCCGGTCCTCATTATACAACAAGCAGCAAAACAGACCACAGTCTGCCTTCGCAGCTGTCATTCTGATAAAAGGAAACAATAAGTAAATAAGGCCATGATGTGGTATAATAGATGTTGACAGTGGTACAGACAGTACATAATGGAGATGGGAGGTTTTGCTTGAGATGCAGTTGTGGTGTTGAATGGCTGACTGAATATGAAAAACAAAGAGGAGTCTTGAAGCTGTGGTACCTGTCAGTAGTAGAGTCCATAACTGGGCTGTGTGAGGTCCTGAGTTCAAAGCTAATTCTGCAAAAAGAAGAGAATCTGGGTTTTTTGTAAGCAACCAGAAAAATGCCATTACTTCTATTTGAGATGGAAAAGTAGACCAGTTGGAAGAGCTGGGACTCAGTGTAGGACTTAGACACCAAAGTGAGGTTTTTGAAGATAGTTGGCAATATAAATTTGGGAAGATAGTAGTATATAAATAGTTGATACTAGTTTTTTTTTCCAACTTAACTTTCTATCCCATTGCCTTGTTTCTTTGTGAAGTCTTTAGTTTCATTTACGCAGATCAGCACAATTAAATTGGATTTCCTATTATGCTATCAAGATCCTGCACTATCTAGCCCCTTCTGCTGCTTCCACATTCTCTAATACCATCTCCCTTCACTACACACTTAATTCATAATACCGACTGCTTTTCACAAAGCTTTTTTGTGCCCCATGGTCCTTTCTCTTTACCTGACTGCAACCCTTTGGCCCTGCCTTCAAAATACTTACCAAACTGAGTTCTTTCTATTACTTCAACTCTACTGCTCCCTGTGGTCCGAGCCTCCATTCTTCACCTGGACTATTGCATTAACCTCCTCACTGCACTTACTGGCTTCACATTTGGGTTTCTTGTCCTGTCGGTGCTCTGCCCTATAGCCAGGTGTATTCTTTTTTTTTTTTAATATTTATTTATTTATTATGTATACAATATTCTGTCTGTGTGTATGTCTGCAGGCCGGAAGAGGGCACCAGACCTCATTACAGATGGTTGTGAGCCACCATGTGGTTGCCGGGAATTGAACTCAGGACCTTTGGAAGAGCAGGCAATGCTCTTAACCACTGAGCCATCTCTCCAGCCCCCCAGGTGTATTCTTTAAACCACAATGAGTTTATTTATCCAATCAATTTGCATCTATCCTCCACTCTCAACCTTCCTCTTTTTCCCACCTTATTTAATATAAAAGCTAAGGTCTTTACCACAGTCCTGTAGACTTTACACCCTCTGCCTCCTCCCTTACCTCTCCTTCACATATTCTCTAGCCACAGTGGCTCGTACCTGAACCATACCAAGCACACTGCTAGCACCTTTGTATTGCCTGTTCTTTTCGTGGGAACACTCATCTTCCGTGTCACCCACACTATATGAACTTCTTCATTTTAGGTAAGTGGTAGAGTGATAGTACACATCTGTAATCTCGGCAGATCAGCAGGAGGATCTTGAATTTGGAAGTGAGGCTGGGCTACATAGTCTTAAAAGAAAACTTCTTAGTATAGCCAAACCTGAGCACTCTTTAAAATTGAAGCCTCCACTTGCTACCTCTTCCCCTTTCATTATTAATTTCCTTATACATAGATCTAACACATGGTTGCTTGTGTTTATTTTTGTCTCTTAATATTTTAAGAGCTGGAGAGGTGGCTTTGTGGTTAAGAGCACATACTGCTCTCTAGAGGAACTGAGTTTGCTTCTAGAACCCATATCAGGCAGCTCACAACCAGCTATAACTACAGCTCCAGGGGATCTAATGTCTTCTTCTGACCTCTGTGGGCACTTACACTCAAGAGTACATTTTCCCTACACACAACAGACAGATAATTAAAAACTAAAATTTTTAAAGGAGCTCCAGGAGCCCAAGAATTTTGTTTCATTTACTGCTGTTTCTGCTGCTATTTCCCCAATATTTATAGCTGCCTGACATCCAGAAGACTTTCAATAATCTTTACTTTCTGTTATCATATACTCATTATAATGGGTTTCATAAAGACAGTTTCCAGTATAGTTTGATCAGAGACCCTGTATTCTCCCCACTCTTCCCCTTATCCAAAAAAAAAAAAAAAAAAAAAATTACTACATTTTTTTTGTGAGTACGTGTGAAGGTAAGAGGTCAACTTTTGGAAGTCAGTTCTCTCCTCCACTATTTGGGTCCTGGGGATTGAACTCAAGTTGTCACACTTGGCAGCAATCACTGTTACATGCTGAGCCCTCTCACTGGCCCTATTCCCCTCAGTCTTTAAATGAGGAAATTCCAAGTAGTAGTAGTCATCTCTGCATAGGAGCCATCCATGCAGAGTGGATTCCAGGTGGGAGCCATCCAGGATGCAAGCATTTCCTGAAATGATGAGGAAGGAATTACCGTTGTAAGCCTAAATAGGGCCCACGTTGCCCTTTCTTGTTCCTTTTTTCTAGGCTCAGCGACAGCCTCACCAAGGACTCCATGAATATCAAGGCCCATATCCACATGATGCTAGAGGTGAGAACAGCTCACTCCACTCTACCCTCCAAATATTTTAGGATGATAACCTGAAGGAGAAAGCCAAAAAAGGGAGAGATCATCTTTCCTTCTGAACTGAAACCAAGGAAATGAAAAGCAGAGAAAACCTGGGGCAGGATCTGAACCCAGCCTCTGCTCAGTCTATTTTGTCCTCTTTTACAGGGACTTAGAGAACTACAAGGCCTGCAGAACTTCCCAGAGCCATCTCCCCATTGACTGCTTCTTCCCATCTAATATTAAAGAGCCGAATGCCTTGGAATTACATAGCCGTTCTTTTTCCCCTCTCACTGACTGACTAAGTGCCCTGGAGACCCATCCACTCTGTAGAACCTCTAAAACACTCTAGAGGTCTTGCCTCTGATTTGTATTTTCCATGTGACTTTATGCTTTACCCTTTTTGTCACCTTGTGAACTTCGACCCACCTCGTCACAATTTAATTCCTTTTCCTAGATACTTGTATCTGTGCTCTTTGTATTACCATAAAGAATGGACGGATGCATGGGCTGGGGGTGAAGTTCAATTGGTAGAGTGCTTGCCTATCACATGTGAAACCCTAAATTCATAGGAGGTCTCCCTGAGTGAGATCAGGAGTAGGCAGGAAGGTTAGAAGTTCAAGGTCATCCTGAGCTATCCCTGAGACCCTTGAAACGAATTTTCAAAGTGCCAATTCAAAGTGATTTGTTCCCATGGCCATTAGCCTTTTCCTCAGATCTTAAGGTTTATTACCTCTCTCTCAGACAGCCTTGATTTGTTCCCTAAATGGTTCCAATAGTTCTAAATAGATCTGCCTTTCCTGCTACAGGCCCTATCACCTAGAGTCTAGTCTTAGATAACTAAGAACCAAGTTCTACCCTTATAACTGGCTGCAATTTGACCCTGCCCTTGTAGACAGTTCATTTCCTCCCTTCAACTCCCTTGTGTATCTGGCAGCCATTCAGCCCTCCTACCTCGGCTGGATTCTAAATTCCTCTTGCCTAGCTAATTATCATAGCGTTCCCCTACCCTCCTACATAGAGTCAAGCCCTACCCTGCTGCTGCTAGTCCTCATTCTAAAGTCCCGTTTCCGCTGAACCGCATGGTGTGCTCTTGGCAGCTGTCTCGGTGTCTCCACCAATCAGCTGAAAACAGAACCCATCCACTGCCCTCCATCCTCTGGGCCTGTCTGCCATCCATCTCATTTAGGCCAATCCGTGTGAACCAGGCGCCCTCCTCCCCCAACCTTGGCACTTGCCCACTTGGCTACCAGTCGTCGACCCAATCAGGGTGAAGAATCAGTACCGCCCAACGTCTCTCTAGTTGACCACCCAACGCAGTCCATCAATCCCCTTCGAGCCAATCGTGTCACAGCTCTGTTAGGATTCCACCACCGGGCCCTGAAGCTGTGCCTACATCCGTGACATACATTTATTTATTCATTCATTTATTTATTTATTTATTTATTTATTTATTTATTTATTTATTTGTAGTTCTGCCTCCTCCCCGCCACCGCCTCCCATTCCCCCCCCCCCCCCCCATCAAGTCCCCCTCAGTCTTCAACCCTTGACTTTTTTTGGCCAATCAACAAACAACAGGACGCTCAGCTCCTCCTCTGAGGACCCACGTGAGAGGAGGGGAAACGCAGGGGCGGCTTCTGGGTGCTGCCGCTGCCGCAGTTGTTGCTCCCGCAGCCCGTTACCGCCACAACCACCGCCTTGGAACTCGGGCCTGGGGGGGCGGTGGGGCCTCGCATGGAGCCCCGCCCCCCGGAGCTGCCGCCGCTACCGCCACCACCGCGCCACACGCAGGTGAGCCCCAGGCCCACAAGGTGGAGGGCGCCATCCATGACCCCATGGATCCTCGCCCCCGCGCATGGGATGTGGCTTGGCCCAGCCTGCTGCTATTCGGCTCCACGGTGTGCATTTCCAGCTCCTTTTGCCCCTTGCAGTGGATCTGAGTGTGGCCTAACCTCCTACTGGGTCTGTATAATGGGTCGATGTTTTTCCTCACCCCCAACTTAATGGACTCGTCCATGTCTTGCCCTCCCCAACCCCCACTGACTGGGAACCAGTCCGTGGCATCGTCCAGTCTTCCTTTAGTAGTAGATGCTTCTCAAGTGTTTGCATGTCTCCTAGCCTCCACTTTCAGGGGATCTTTCTGTGGCCTTGTTTATGGAGCCTCTCATGTTTGGTTGTAGTGAATCAGTTCGTGGCACTGGGCCCCCTCCAGGGACACAATGTTTGTTTAACAGTCAGTCCACCTGAGTTTATATTTCTGCCCCCTTGAATCCCCAGTGCATAAACCCATGACTTTACCGGCCTCCTCCCTCTGCCCCCATCTTTCTGCGGGTTAGTCTGCATGGCTGCATTCACATCACTCTAGTTATCACTGCCCTAACTTTCCTCCCTGATTTGTAGACTCTAGCCATTGAGCTGCTTCCTTTTAACAATGGGTCAGTTTAGTGCTCTTTCTTTCTTTCTTTCTTTCTTTCTTTCCATTTTCGGCAGCCCAGTCTATGGCCTTGTCCTGTCCCTCTTTTTTTTTTTTTTTTTATTTAATTTTTTTGAGACAGGGTTTCTCCGTAGCTTTTGGTTCCTGTCCTGGAACTAGCTCTTGTAGACCAGGCTGGCCTCGAACTCACAGAGATCCTCCTGCCTCTGCCTCCCGAGTGCTGGGATTAAAGGCTTGTGCCACCACCGCCCGGCTCCTGTCCCTCATTTTAATCACTATGTGAGGCTCTTCTCTGCTATTGTACAGGAGTCCGCCATATCTGCCTCCTTTTGTAATAGATCTGTTCAGTAGCATCCTGCCACCTCAGGGTTTGTATTTCTCATATCCGTCTGAGTCCAGTGCTTGCAATCTGTCCCCGAGGAAGATAGGCCTTGCAATTTATTTCCCTCCTCTTCATGTGTTCGATCAATCTTCCCTGCCCCATCTCTTAGGCGATCCTGTGTACTTCCGAAACCCAGGGACTTACACTGTATACTTTATATGTTTCCTCACAGACACTCTTAAACACTTAGACATTTTGCCTTGATACAGTTCTCAAGTACAGGAGTGGTACTGATGTTAGTGACAGTCCGAGCTAACCTTTCCACTTTCCACTTGCTAAGTGTACTATAGTCTCCAGCTTGCTTAGTCCTCATCACAGCCTTGTGAGACAGGCTACTGACAAAAATGGGGCATATGGAGGTTAAAAGCCTTAGTGAGAAATGGTCCAATAACTACTTAAAACAAGAAACATTTTCCCAGTGCCCCGTCTCCCTCATTGCATCCCACATGAGGACACATTCGCGCCAATTACCAGGTTTCTGTTCCTGCTCTTCTGCATCAGAGCTATCTCCATTCCACACTGGTCTCAAAACCCATCAACCCCCAGTCCCAGCAGTGCTGTGACTTTACTTTTTCCCTGTACTGGACTGAAAGAGGGGAGGCAGAAACTATAATCCTTTCCAGTGTGAAGAGAGAATATGTACTTAGCTCCTTCACCTCCCCTTTCAGACCCCATGGTATAGTCATGCTGGCCTCCTCTTCTCCGCTTCTCAGAAGCAGCAGGTCCAGGCAAGCCTCAGGGTATTTGCATTAGCTTTTCTTTCTCCCTGAACACTACTCCCACATTTCTGTACGGTAACTTCCTAGGCTCTCTTCAGGTGCCATTCTCAAAAGAATTTTAGCACACTGTGCAGGGAACACACTAAAGATGTTTCTAGGAACGCTGCGGTGAGTGGAAAGGATGTGTTAATAGACATGTGCTGCCGGTGATATCAAATAGAGCAGATGTTGCAGTGAACACTTTCCTGTCTTTGCATCTGGGTAGTGTTCTTTCAGTAAAACATGTATTTGTCCCACTGGTGCTTGGCTTATACTATATAAAGGCACATGTTTCAAAGGGTACTTTGTTGAAAACAAAGTAGTCAACACCCACCCCTCCCCTTGACCATCTGATTTTGCACACCCAGCAGGGTTCGGGTCTCCTGCTTGCTTTGTTCTTTTCTACTCTGTCACCGTTAGAAATGCTATACAGATCGTTATATTGTCTGCCTCTCCTCAGAATGGGTACTTAGAGATTTTATCTACTTAGTGATCACTCTTTATCTAAAAATGTACCTTCTTAAAGTAGGTGCTTGAAAGAATTGGTGCACAAATAAATGATGGGGAGATGTTATCTATCTAGGCTGTGCATGGGTGATTCACAACTATGTATTTCCAGCATGGAAGACCAAGAGAGATTTTTCAGGAAGTAAATGCTAACTTGGGCTTTCAGACTAACCTGGACTATGGAGTAAGATCCTGTCACAAAATTGAATATGAAAATTATATCCCAGATATCAATATGAGGATGGACTAGGCAACAAACAAAAGAAGAAAAGGAATGCAAGAATTAAGATACTTGTTGGGATTGTTTAAATGTTAACAGCTATTTTCTAAGCACCTAGTGAATACCAACCAGCCATTCATTCTAGATGCTGGCGATATGGAGAAGCAAAACGGCAGAAATCCCTGCACATAGGAAGCAGGTGTTACTAAAAGTGAAGGAGAAAGACTGTATAAATAGGTAAAAATAGTGTAATATACAAATGCTAAGGAACAAACTTAAGTGGGGCAAACAGGACTGGAGTATCAAGATGTTTGATAATCTTGGAACAAGGCAGGCTACACTTGGAAATGTGACTCATGAATTAAGGCCTGAAGGAAACAGAGGATGAATCCATAATGTGTAAAGGAAAAGTGTACCAGAAAGAACACTCAGTACAAAGACCATGAAGTCACATTGTACCTGCTTGTCCAAAGCCAGTGTGGCTGGAAAAGAGTCGGCAGGAAGTGGCCGGGGGGGGGGGGGGGGGGAGGCAAAAGACAAAGTATGAACAGAGCCTGATGCGGGGGTGAGGGGGGAAGAAGGATGACACACAACCTAAGGGCTAACATTTATTGACTGTTTACCATGTTCTAGAGACACTTTTCTAAGTCTTTTACATATATTGGCATGTTGAATCCTTATAAAAAGCCTTTGAGGGAAGGCATACTTTTTTAAAATTCTTTTTTGGTTTGAGAGTAAAATCCCTTGTTTTACAGATGTTCAACTAGACATAAAAAAGTTGAGCAACTTGCTCAAAGCCACACAGACATAACAGGGCAGAATGTGAGGCTGTGAAGACCGAGACAGAACAAATTTGCAAGGACAAGCAAGTTACTCCATGCATTGGATTGTGCAGAGGAAAAGTTAATTCTACCTGCTAGGGACTAGAACTTGAGAATTATCCTAGGAACCATGATACCTCAGGTAGACACTTCAGAGCTTTTGTATATGCGATTTCCTTTACCAAAATTATCCTTCCCGTGGACATCAATATGACTTCTACTACCCCTTCTTCAAATGTCACTTCCCCGGGGAAGCCTGTCCTGCTCACATCATTGTCACTCTGGGATCTCGCCTGTCTCTATTTTCTTCATAGAGAACTGGCCTTGAGTAGCTAGGGATGCTGAGTCAGAATTTATCCAGCATCCAACATCTCATCCAATGATGAGATCTTAGGCAAGTTACTTAACTACTAGCTCCACACTTACTTGTCTGAGAAATGGATGTCATAATATAATCCACCTTTTGGAGGGTGGTTGTATTGTGTTGTGTTTTCTTCTTTTTGGAGATATTGAATGTGTGAATCATACTAGATTCCTCTCTGTTGTGTCCTAAGCTGTTTTGGAGCACCCAGTAAATGAGGTGAGGAGCAAAAGGAAAACCTAGGAAGGGCAGGTGACGAGAATTCTCATTAGGATTGTGCGAGAGAAGCAATAATCAAATTCAGCCCCCTGTCTACTAATTGGGCCGCTTTCACTCAGCTGCCAGATTTTAGCATAGCTCAGAAGAGGTGGTGAGGGGGCTGGAGAGATGGCTCAGAGGTTAAGAGCATTGCCTGCTCTTCCAGAGGTCCTGAGTTCAATTCCCAGCAACCACATGGTGACTTCCAACCATCTGTAATGAGATCTGGTGCCCCCTTCTGGCCTGCAAACGTACATACAGACAGAATATTGTATGCATAATAAATAAATAAATAAATATTAAAAAAAAAAGAAGAGGTAGTGAAGTTGCCTGTCTTCGCCACTAGGAGCCACAGTGGACTCTGGGCCTCTGAAAGAAGTCCGTCTTGGGTATATTTTAGTCTTTTAAAACTCTGAGGAGGGGACTCTGGTCCACTGTTGTTTGGCACTGTAATTTGGATAGCTGCCTAACACTGTGCCTGCTAAATGAACCTTGAACTAGCTCAGACATATGAGACAATCATACTGTAATTTCATTCAGATTAAAGAATAAAGCTATAGATATAAGTTCTTCAAAACCTTAGAAGGTTTATTCTTAACCTAACAATCCCAGCCAGGTGGACGGATGGTTAACAGAGTCCCATCAGGGACTAGATGGTTCAAGGTTAGCTCCAGTTTGCTTATGGAAAGAGCAGTAATGGGATGACAAGAAACATCCTTCCTCTTCAGGGCGTGCCTAAAAGGAGTAATCATTTGAAGTAATATTTTGATTTGTTCTTCCTTTTATGGAAAATAGATTTTTTTTCTCAAATAATATACATTCTGTTTATGGTTTCCCCTCCTTCTTACTCCCACTAATTCCTTCCTACTTCCCCTCCCATCCAGATCCACTCTCTTTCTGTATCTCATAAGAAAACAAACAGAACTAGCGTGGTGGTGCACACCTTTAATCCCAACACTCAGAGGCAGAGGTGGTACACCTCTGTGAGTTCAAGGCCAGCCTAGTCTACAGAGCAAACTCCAGGGCATTGAGGATATTAAACAGAGAATCCCTGTCTCAAAAAAATAAAAGCAAAATGAAAACAAACAGGAAGCCAGGCATTGGTGGCATATGCCTTTAATACTAGCACTCAGGAGGCAGAGGTCAGCGTGATCTACAGAGGAAGTTCAAGGACAGCTAGGGCTACACAGAAAAACACTATCTCCAAAAAAAGAAAAAAAGAAAGGAAACAGGCTTCAAAGGGTTGATAATTATAAATTATAACAAAACAAAAACTAACACATTGCAACTGGGCAAAACAAACAGAAATAGCCCAAGAGAAGACCCAAGAAACAGGGACTCATTTGTTTAAATACTAAGGAATCCCATAAAAACATTGAACTGGAAGGTGTAGTATATACTCAAAGGACCTGATGCACACCTGGTGCAGGTTAAATGCTCAGATCCTTTGAAGTTGGTCATGGTGACCCATCCCTGTAAGTTCAGTCACAGGGAGGTGGAAACAGGAAAATCAGGAGTTCAAGATCATCCTCCATATGGCAAGTTTTAGGCTAGCATAGACTGTATGAGACCTTGTCTCTAAACATAAACAAACACTTAGATCCCTGGAATATACTTGGTTCAAATGCAGGAACTGTCTTTCACCTACAGCAGTGTAGCATAGTGAAGTCACTTGGACATCTCTTGCCTCAGTATATAAATTAGGTGTGATATTACAATAAGAATATGTCCTTAAACAAAAGGAAAAATGCCTACTTTCCAGAGTCGGGATGAGAAATAAGTGACTCAGTGCCTATAAAAATAACAGCCCATGCCTTTATCCAAAACCCCAGAGACCAGATGTATTTCAGAATTGTGAATTTTTCAGTTTGGAAAGGTAGCAGCGTGCACATATGATACGTTACATAATATCTTCAGCAGCTCTGTCACCAGCTGCTTTTAGATCCCTGCAGCAGAATGCATGAACATTCACACTAAGCAGGATCAATAAAAACCAGAATGGGCCTTGCTTTCTTTCAAATCATGTTTTGTTGCCAAAAGCATTACAACAGTTCTTGGAGCTTTTTGGATTTAGAGATAGCAGGAAAAGGACTTTTGAACAAATTAGAAAATTCTCTCTTTTTTTTTTTTTTATGATTTTTCGAGACAGGTTTTCTCTGTGGTTTTGGAGCCTGTTCTGGAACTAGCTCTTGTAGACCAGGCTGGTCTCAAACTCACAGAGATCCGCCGACCTCTGCCTCCTGAGTGCCGGGATTAAAGGCGTGTGCCACCAACGCCTGGCTAGAAAATTCTTAAAGCCTTTACCCCAAGTAGGTTATATTTAATTCACACAATGATAATGGTGCATAGTGTCTGTTTTATAGATGGGTATGTCACTGTCCCTATTTCACAAATGAAAAAAAATTTGAGGTACAGAGAGGTTAATGAATCTGGCCAGGATCACACAGCTAATAACTGGCAGAACAAGGATTCAAAACATAGAAGTCTAGCATTAGACTGAGGCCGATTGTCCAGTAGACCAGCCTTTCTGCTTAGAGCAGTGCCTAACATAATAGTTTACATGTTTGTTTAAAGAAAGACATGGGTTTATAGTGAAGCTCTGTGATAAAAACATGTGTTTAACATGCATGAGGCCCTGGAGTTGGTCTCTAGCTCTTCAGAAAGAAGCAGCAGCCATGTATTCTTGATATGTATAATCTCAGCACTCAGGAGATGGAGGCAATAGCATCAAGAGTTTAAACCGAGGCTAGAGAGATGGCTCAGAGGTTAAGAGCACTGGCTGCTCTTCCAGAGGTCCTGAGTTCAATTCCCAGCAACCACATGGTGGCTCATGACCATCTGTAATGAGATCCAGTGGTGTCTTCTGGCCTACATGCACACAGAACACTGTATATGTAGTAAATAAATAAATCTTTTTTTTAAAGATTAAACCATTGAGGGACAGAAAAGTGTAGGTATTCAGTTTGAGAAGGCTTCATAAACCTAACTTGAACTTTGAGTAGGGTTTGTGTTTTTTTTTTTTTTTGGAAGATGACTGTTCAATACAGGAAAGGAGCCCCATATGCAGTGAACAGTGTTTACAAGGGCCTAGCAAAAGGCACACCCTCAAAAAGTTAATGGGGTAGAAGACTGTAAGAGTCAAGTCAAGGACATTTCACTAGTTTTCTAGTACTGCTATATAAATTATCTCCAACTTGGGCTGGAGAGATGGCTCAGTGGTTAGGAGCATTGTCTGCTCTTCCAAAGGTCCTGAGTTCAATTCCCGGCAACCACATGGTGGTTTACAACCATCTGTAAAGAGGTCTGGTGCCCTCTTCTGGCCTGCAGACATACACACATACAGAATATTATATACATAATAAATAAATAAATATAAAAAAATAATCTCCAACTTATGCACACCTCTAATTCCAGTACTCAGCAAGCTGAGACAGAAGTTCAAGACCAGCCTGAGCTACATAATAAGACACTGTCTTTTTAAAATAACTACACATTTATCATGTGTTAGTTCTGTAGCGCAGAAATCCAACACTGTTCTCACCAGGCTAACATTATTATTGTCTTGGTGGGACTTTAGTCCTTTTTAGAGAATTGTTGCCTGTTCATTCAGGTTGTCCTTTGAGTTGTGATATTGAAATTTCCTTACTGGCTGTAGGTGGAGAGTCATTCCCGATTCGTGAACCTGCCCAACTTCTTTGTCTTGGAGCCTTCTCCAGATTCAGGGATGGCAGGAAAAATCCCTCCATGTTTGAAATCTACTGCCTCTCCTGCCATTCTGCCTCTAATGTTTCAGCCTTATTTTTCTGCTCTTAAAAGAGCTCATACAGTGAAGTTGATCTCAAATAAAACCAGAATGCTTGCTGTGTCTTAAGGTCTGTAATCTTAATTTCATTCAAAATTCTGTTTTGCTATGTAGCATAACACAGTCAGACTCTAACTAGGATATGGAACTCTTTGGGACTCAGGTTGTATTATCCTGTCTTCCCTCTAGCTCCTAATGATGCATATTTGTCATGGTTGAGCTGATGGCTCAGTGGTAAAGAGTGCTGGCTGCTCTCACAGAGAACCAGAGCTCAATTTCTAGAACCCATGTTGGGCAGCTCATAAGTGGCTGTAATTCTAGCTCCAGGGGATCCATTGCCCTCTTCTGGTCTCCCTTGGCACCCATACACATGTTCACATACACACAGACATACATATATATACATAAATATTTCTTTTAACTCGCTTTCGTCCCACGTGTGAAATGCAAGAGGCATCCAAAGCTGTATAAGGGAGTTTAGGAGATGGTTTAGGGAATAGTAGTGGGATTTGGCAACAGAGGTGGAGACAAGGTAACAAGAAAGAAATCCCTTTTGCTGTCCTCCAGGTACCTCTGGAATGGCGTGAGCACTTCCCTAGCGATGGACTCATCTGTGACGCTGTGGCAGTTTCTGCTGCAGCTTTTGAGAGAACAAGGTAATGGCCACATCATCTCTTGGACCTCACGGGATGTTGGTGAATTTAAGTTAGTGGATGCAGAGGAGGTGGCCCGTCTATGGGGGCTGCGCAAGAACAAGACCAACATGAATTACGACAAGCTCAGCCGGGCATTGCAGTACTACTATGACAAGGTATGGCCTCAGAAACCAAGACTGGAAACCCTTGAAACCAGAAAACTATTTTCTGATTTTTTTTTCCCTTTTGAGGCAGGGTCTCCCAATGTAGTATAGATTTGTTTGAAACTTACTGCGTAGCCTAAGCTGGCCTCAAATTCACTGTCCTCCTGCCTCCTACCCCCCAATTCCTGGAATTATACTTCTGGCCTAGAAATTTCATTTTTTGTCCCAGTTACTGTAGCTATAACTTTGAAAACAATATTAAAACTTATCAAATTCTGACCTATCCTCTAGTTTCCCGCAGGCTTTGAGATAATTGTGTTTTCTGGAACCCTCAGACTAATTGTGGGTTCCCCTGGTTACTTTATATATAATCTTCTCTCACTATAAAACAATCCATATTCTTATCCCTAGACTCAAAATCATCCTGACATTATAATACTAACATTCCTTACTTCACTTTCTAGAAACCCCAATATCTTTAATCAATTGTTTTATTTTCTCCTATTCCTTTATTTTGTTTTTATTTTTGAAGCAGGTCTCTTGGTGTTACTGAGGATGGCCTCAAACTCTCATTCCTCTTGTCTTAGTCTCCAGAGTGCTAGGCTTACAGGTCTTTGCCTTCAACTAAATGCTCCAGAATAACGTGTAGTGCCAGCTCCAAGCCCACTCCTCTTAGATTCCTAGAACAGCACCTCAGTGTCTATATCACTACTGCAGCTCAAATTTTAGATTTTCTCATCTTACATTCTTAGACTCCCAGATCTGCATTATATTTCCTCTTCCCCAATATTTATACTAATAATTTCCTATTTCTTCAGTATAAACCTTCAAAACAATATTAATAATTATCCCTTTTCATTTATCTTCTGAAAAATATAAGGATACTCTGAAATACTTGACCAGCATTAAGACTTCCACCAAAATACCTAGCGTCCCCAGATTCCTCCAAAAAAAATAGTAATTCTCACCTGTGCTTTGTGTCCTTGAAAGTTTATGGCATATATTCCAGTTTCATACATTACTCTTTCGGTTCAAACCTCTAAAGCAGTGTTAATGACTACCTCATTCTGATCCTCTCTGAGACCACCAGGACATCCCTGGAACCCTCCAAACCATATGTATCTCTCTTAGGGTTTCTATTGCTGTGACAAAATCTCCTGACCAAAGAGCAAGCTGGGGAGGACAGGGTTTTTATTATTATTATTATTACTAATTTATTTTTAAAAAGGCCAATCCAAATTCCCACTCCCTCCCCTCCTCCCATTCCCTACACCCCCTCCCACCTCATCCCTACCCCCTAATCCTCAGAGAGGGTAAGGCACTTTGTTTTGTGGAAGGTCCAAGGCCCTCCCTACTACATCTAGGCTGAGCAAGGTATCCATCCAAAGAGAATAGGTTCCCAAAAAGCCAGTACATGCAGTAGAGACAAATCCCAGTGCCCTCAGTCTGCACCACCCATGCAACTGTCAACCACATTCAGAGGGACTAGTTTGGTCCTATGCTTGTTCCTTCCCAGTTCAGCTAGAGCTGGTGAGCTCCCATTTGTAACATGGAGGGTCCTGTTTGTTTGGGTTTCTGTCCTGCCTGGTAACCCACAACTGTTTAGCCCCAAAGAAAATCACACATAGGTCTCCATAAATTATAAGCTGATTGGCCCATTAGCTCTAGCCTCTCACTGGCTAACTCTCACATCTTGATTAACCCATTTTTCTGATCTATGTTAGCCATGTGGCTCAGTACCTTTTTTCAGTGGGGCAGAACACATCCTGCTGCTTCGGTGGTCTGGGCAGGAGTGGGAGGAATCAACTTCCTCCTTCCCAGAATTCTCCTGTTCTCATTACCTCATTTCTACTTGCTGTCTGGTTTTCCTGCCTATACTTTCTGCCTGGCCAATCAGCGTTTATTTTAAACATGATTGACAGATTACAGACAATTCTCCCACACCACTTCCCCCTCTTTTTTTTTTTTTAAAAAAAAAAAAAGGAAAATATCCATCGTCCATTTTTTGGGAATGTGGGCGTAGTATTCCAGGCTACTTCCAGCTGGTTGGGGGTGCTGATAATCTTATGGGGACCTCAAGAAAATTTAGAGTTATGATCAAGTCCTGACTGAAGTGTCCTGTGAGTCTTGATCATCTCAGGCAGCAGTCTTGAACCTGTTCTGGATGAAGAACTCAGGCATCTGGGCCATCTATTTATGCTAGAGATTTTTCAGGTGGTCTTCCTTGATCAAATTGGATTTTTCTTAACTCTGAATAAATCCACAGCCTTTCATTTTCTGTGGAAACAAAAGCAAAATCTCTTCTCCAAAGTAACATACCTTTGACTTCAATTTTGAAGTCAAGGTATTTTCAAAATACCTATCTTAAATTAATTCTGCAGCATTTATAAGCAAATATCTTTTAGCAGCTGTTGCTCCTTCCTCAGCATTCAAACAATTTAAAGAGAGCATAATAGCATACAGTATCAAGATTCTCTGTGTATTTTCCATCTTTACATGGCTTTACTTTAACCTCTATTTCTTTTATTTTTACTTTTACTTTTTGAGACAGGTTCTCTGTATATCTTTGTCCTGGAATAACTCTGTAGACCAGGCTGTCCTTGAACTTACAGAGATCTGTCTGTCTCTGCCTCCCAGGCAAATCCTACCAGCGTGCGCCACCACAACCAGCTACTCTCTTTCTTTCTTTCTTTCTTTTTTTTTTCTTTCTTTCTTTCTTTCCAGAACTTTAACCTTTAGCCTGTATAAATTTTTAACACACTATAAACCATTTAGAGGTTTTCTTCCTCTTTGGATCTCTCTTTACTGTATATCTCTCTTTTTCTGACCACATGGGTCTTTAATTTGCTAAGAAATATGGAGAAGTTTTTTGCCACAACTCTGGCATTTCAAGGTCCTTGCCAGAAAGCAAGCTGCAACAGTGTGTGCATAAACAACACTCAAAAGCTCCTATGACATTTCAAGATCCTTGCCAGGAAGCAAACTGCAACAGTGTGTCCATACCTCCATAGTCGGGATGGCCTGCTTGAAAGAGTCAGAGTTTTCCCTGGCAGGACAGCCCAGAAAGCCAGCATTTTAAAACAGTGCAGCTTTTTTTCCTGCTACAGCTGAAAACCGAAATGCTTTATTCTAGTCTTTCCTAAGCTTTCTCAGCCTTTCTGTGGATGCAGTTATCCATGTAGGCACCATTTGTAACATAAGGGCTGGGCTTGCTTGTTGGGGTTTTCTGTCCCACCTGGTTCCCCACTGTCAGCAAGCCCCAAAGAAAATCACACAGAGATCTCTATAAGTTATAAATCTTATTGGCCCATTTGCTTAGGCTACTTATTAGCTCTGGTAGCTTATATTAACCCATTATTCTGATCTATTTTTGCCATATGGCTCAGTAACTTTTTCAGCTGGCAAATCACATCCTGATTCCTCGGTGGTCTGGACAGGAGTGGGAGGAATCAACTTCCTCCTTCCCAGAATTCTCCTGTTCTCATTGCATCATTTCTACTTGCTGTCTAGTTTTCCTGCCTGTACTTTCTGCCTGGCCAATCAGAATTTATTTAAAACATGATTGACAGATTACAGACAATTCTCCCGCAGACTACACTGAACCTGATTGAAAAGAAAGTGAGATGTAGACTGCAACATATGAGCACAGTAGACCACTTCCTAATATAACCCCAGTAGCACAGACACTGAGAGCAACAATAAATAAATGGGAACTCCTGAAACTGAGAAGCTTCTGTAAATCAAAGGACAGAGTCAATTAGACCAAAAGGCAGCCTACTGAATAGGAAAAGATGTTCACCAACCCCACATCAGCCAAAGGACTGATCTCCAAAATATATAAAGAATTCAAGAAATTAAACATTAAAATCCTAAATAGCCCAATTAAAAATGGTGTACTGAAATAAGCAGAGAATTCTCAACAGAAGAATTTCAAATGGACAAAAGATATTTAAGAAAATGTTCAACTTCCTTAGTTATCAGGGAAATGCAAATCAAAACAACTCTGAGATACCATCTTACTCTTGTTAGAATGGCTAAATTTAAAAACACTAATGATAGCTTATGGTGGAGAGGATGTGGAGTAAGGGGAACTCTCCATTGCTGGTGGAATTGCAAACTTGTACAACCACTTTGCAAATCAGTATGTTGGTTTCTCAGAAAATTGGGAATGAACCTACCTCAGGATTCAGAAATACCACCTTGTGAATATACTGAAAAGATGCTCAATCATGCTACAAAAGCATTTGTTCAACTATGTTCATAGCAACATTATTTGTAATAGCCAGAATCTAGAAACAACCTAGATGCCCCTCAACTGAAGAATTACTCAGTGGTAAAAAGCAATGAGAGCTTGAATTTTTCATGCAAATGGATGGAATTAGAAAACAGTATCCTGAGTGAGACCCCCAAAATGAATATAGTATATATTCTCTCATAAGTGAATACTAGGGTGGGAAGGTGTGTGATGGGTTGGGAGGAGGGAAGAGGAGGGAGTGGGAATTTGGATTGGTATATTTTTAAAAATTCTTATAAATTAAAAAAGTAAGTTAATACAAAAAGAAACTTTGAATTGTATAAATTCCTTTTCCAATAAAGCTTACCTGTCCTAGGTATTTTGATAAAATACTACAAAATGGATTAACTCCAGGGCAATATGCCTTTAGTAATATTTCTTCATTCTGGTAAACTCTTACAACCCTTTCTCTGATGGCCTCTGTGAGAATCACTTGTTTCTACATATATCATCTTCAAACCTTCTAAGAAAAATATATATATTAAAGAGGATTACTTTGATATAACTATTCCAAGAACACAGTAAAAAGATCCCTATTGCTACAACTACACATGAAGAAGAAAGTAAAATTTCCATCTATTTCCTTTGGAGAAAATAATCCTTCTAATAAAGGACACCATGAAGAAGTTATATATAGTTTATCTTCTAAAGCTGCAGAAAGTTTATACCCTTGAATTTTCATTGTGAGTACACAAGCTAAAAGAGCTAAAACCTGGCAAGCAGAAGTGATTCAACAGTTAGAAAGCCCTTCCTGCTCCTCTAGAGGACTGAAGATTTGTTCTCAGTACTCACATCAGGGGGCTCACAAAAGCTTTTATCTCCTCCACAGGGGGAAACTACACCATTTTCTGGTCTCTGGGTATCTGCACACAACTGGCTTGTGCACAAAAATAAAAACATATATTCAAAAAATTTCAAAATTAAGAAAAAACCTAGATTATAGTTCTGTCAAATGTTGTTAGTCAAATAAAATTTTGATATTCTACATGTTTCAGATAGTTTCTTCATTTTTCCATTTTCTGATTTTGTGTCTTATGATTTAGTTTCTCAGAAAATTATCAGCTGAATATTCTCAGGTAAGTGTATTTTCAAATATACCTGAATGTATAAACATTTAACATTGTCTTCTGAGTTAGGTAAACATTTATTATTTTTATTGCCTGCACAAAATATTCTCTATACTTGATTCTAAGGTAATATTAATTGATAAAATACAAACGATGAAATAAATTTTTATCTTTTTAGTTGATACACAAAAATTTCATTATGCAATATTTCAAAATATATATTATTGTAATTTGCTTGTATCCAGCATCTACTACCTTCCCTCATTCTTTTTTCCCAAAGCTTCTGCTGACCCATTTCCATACAATCTTGTCCTATCTTCATTTAAATTTAGTGTTACATATAGAAGAATTAATGGCATTTTGCTTTTGTTATTTCCGATTACCATTTATCTTACAACCCTGCCTCAGCATCCCAAGTAAGGTCCTCGTATCATAGATAGGCATATTGTGCCACACTTAGTTACAATTACTTTATTTTTCTTTTTTACAAATAATTATTTTACAGTGGTAACTATATATTTTTCATTTTCCCCTCCTTCGCTCCCTCCCTCCTTCCCTCCCTCCCTCCCTCTCTTTCTTTTTTCCTCTTCTTTTCTTTTTTTAAAATTTATTTATTTATTATACAATGTTCTGTCTGTGTGTATGTCTGCAGGCCAGAAGAGGGCACCAGACTTCATTACAGATAGTTGTGAGCCACCATGTGGTTGCTGGGAATTGAACTCAGGACCTTTGGAAGAGCAGGCAATGCTCTTAACCACTGAGCCATCTCTCCAGCCCCTCCTCTTCTTTGGTAAATTCTGATGGTAGATCCCAAATCCTTGCACATGCTAAACATGAATATGGATTATGTAGTTACATCTATTCCTTACCTTGCGTCATTATATTCTTTAAATTCTACAGGGTCTCAAGGGAAGATCTAAGATTAAATTCACCTTTTTGGTTTGCTATAATCTAGTAAAATATTCTATTTCTTAGATATATATCTAATCCAAACTTTCATGATAGATGTGTTATATTTTTGGATCAAATTGAACCCACTTATGTACATTTGAAGACCATAGGACCACACTGGAAGCAAAGCTTTGTCTGGAACTATAGTTTGACCTTCTTAAGATATCTTAAGATATTTTCTATTCATTCATTTTTATGGTGATTGCATTTTCTCTAAAATCATCTACCTTTAGTTGGCCTTCTTATAACATCCTAAGATCTTTTCAGTTCAAATTTTTTCTTAGGACAATTGTATTTTCTTTAAAGAAAGTTATCTTAATTTTAAAATTGAGTGTTTCTTTCTCCTAACATGTCAAAACATGATTTAATTCCTCAGTGAAACTTAGTAATATGTTCAGTCAATATGGAAAAATTATTTCAAGTTTCCAAGATATTTAATTTTGATAAAAATTCAAGCGAGAATGAACAGAAAATATCTCACATGAGTAATTCAATTATAAAACAGGTGTATTGATTAGATCTAGTGAACACTGACAGGTCATGACACCCCAAAATACTTTCAATTCACTTGAGATAAACACAATTTGAAGTAAAGATTGTTGAAATAAAATTTTTTATAAAAGAAGTTATCTTTATTTGTATATTTGTATAAATTTTTATGATGTCCATTTTCATTCCTACCCAGAATATAGGAAAAGTTCCACTGATGAACAAAATTTCAGGTATTCTTCATTGATAAGATATTACATATTGCAAACTTTTAAATATTAACATCTAGCTCTCATGGATTCTTTTTTTCTGTTTGCCTTCCCTCATTTTCTAGCCCATAGGATCTTAAATATTTTAAAGTTCTGAAATTGACCCCCTTAAGACTTTTATTCTTCTTAGGTGTTAAGCTGCTCTACAACCCTAATGCTTTTATATTGTTTTGTTCATATTTATATCTTGTAATTATTATCATTGTGTCTGTCTGGATATGTTCATGAAGGAATATGACTCTACCACATAGGAAAGTGATGGAAGGGAATCATGACCTTCAGGTCGGCCTCAGTGTTATAGTGAGAACTTTTGTCAAACAAACATACAAAGGCAAATGAATAATAAAATATACTCCTATAAGGACAAGAATAAAATTGTCTTGGTTAAGGGTGCAATGCAATTCTACCATTGAAGACTTGCTTGGAAGGCATGCAGCATGAGATTTTATCATAAGTCCATCAAAGAACAATATAAAAATAATAACAGTAGAATAAAAAGTTTGTTAAGAATCCAGATCCAACTGAGGCTTCAAATGATGATATTTTTGCTGAGTGAAATGATACTTTCCATTCTTAATATTTGACTCAATTTAATTTCTCTTGTCATCTGTTTAGTGACAGGCTCATTATCATGATTTTCAGATATAACCATGATACTCATGGTTATGACACCTGTAGTCAACTCAGAAGACTAAACTGAATTGTTATAATATGCCTGATGTCACACTAGTAACACATGACACAGGAGATTCAAAATTATACTTTGTTTAATTAATTTGATTGAAATTCAATTGTTAGCTAACTTAAATTATTTGATTAAATTAGTTGAATTAATTAAAATTTAAGGTCTAAACAAAGAACTTAGTCATTTTCTCAAATTCATGGTTTAAATTGATGTTTGACATGTATTCTTAAATTTTCAAGTATACTAGAACATTTTTAGTTTGGTGGTGGTTGTTTGTGAAAATATGTGTAGATCAGAGGTAAATTTTGCTTACTCTGTATCTTACTCTGTATCTTACCTCTCACTGGTCTTGAATATTAGTTAGGCTACATTGTCTAGCTAGTCATGACTTAAGATCTGCCTTTATCTATTTACCAAGTTCTGAGGTTACAAACACTCCTAACAATACCCAGATTTTTGATATGGAAACTGGTAATTGAATTCTGAACCTCATGCATGTGCAAAAAAATGTTCATTCCTCTGAGTCATATCTTCACATCACTCTAACAGTTTTCTGTTCCCTCAGTTATGGAACCCAATGCTGTGATTTTACAGTTCCCCTAAAGTTGAAGTGTTTTTTTTGGGGGGGTGGGTTAAGAATAAATGACACAATAAACAATGGAGGTAAAATTAAGAAGTGTGGACATTATTGCCAGGATATGGTGATGCACACCTTTAATCCCAGCACTGGGGAGGCAGAGGCAGGCGGATCTCTGTGAGTTCGAGACCAGCCTGGTCTACAAGAGCTAGTTCCAGGACAGGCTCCAAAACCACAGAGAAACCCTGTCTCGAAAAACCAAAAAAAAAATATTAATATAGAAAAGAAAGGGCAAAAATGAATATACCAGGAAAGGTATAACTCTTATTAGCTCAGGAAGAGGCTCAATTTTACTCTTCTGATCTCCAAGTTGTAGGAGAACTTACAAAATTAAAACACATGGTTTTAATTAAATGATGTAGTATGAGATTTGATATGATTTTTTATTGAATGATTAATATAATTTTCAGAGAATTAAGTTTTTCATATAAAGAATCTGATACAATTTCCATTTTCTCAGTTGATATATCTGAGAAGAAATTGGTTTGATAAATTCCATAATTGTGTATTAGTTTTCAATTTTATGTTATGAAGTTGTGTGTTTTTTCATTATTTTGTATGACATTTCAGGTTCCTTTTCTTTCAAATCATGTATGTTTATATTTTAGGCAGTGATTTATTTTTTCTATTCTTTTTGTGATTATAACGTAATTATATATTTTCTCACTTTTGTGTCCTCCCTCCAAATGCTTTCCTGTACCCTTCTTGTGTTGACAAATTCATAGCCTCTTTTTACATTAATATTTACTATGTTAAAGATGTAAATACACATATATTTCTAAATATAATCTACTAATGGAAGCCTGAATAATCTGCATAAATATTTCATGGTGTCTTGGATATGTCAGAATTCAAAATTTAGATCAAGGCTATACCCATCACAATCATTGCCTAGAAGAATTACAAACTAATTTGCATGACTATTACATAGATTTGTTTTCAGTACTAGAAGGAAAACTGCAACCCAAGGAAGTTGGTTACATCCACAAAACCACAGACAATAGATGATCTCATAGCAGCAAGTCCCAAAGTATGGAAAAACACACAAAATAACATCACCACCAATGATAACTAAAATAACAGGAGACAGCAATCACTAGTTATTCATATCTCTTAATATAAATGGACTCAACTCACATATAAAGAGTCACAGACTAACAGATTGGCTACAGAACCAGAATTCATTCTTCTGCTGCTTACAAGAAACATACCTCAACCTCAAAGACAGACATCACCTCAGAATAAAGGGTTGGGAAAAAATTTTCCAATCAAATGAACCTAAGAAACAAGCTGGTATAGCTATACTAATATCTAACAAAATAGACTTCAAACTAAACTCAATCAAAGAGACAAAGAAGGACATTTTATATTAGTCACAAGAAAAATCCACTAAGAGTAAATCTCAATATTGAACATCTATGTCCCAAATACAGGGGCACCCTCATATGTAAAAGAAACACTTGAAAAGCCTAAATCACACATTAATCCCCACACAATGATAGTGGGAGATTTCAACACTCCACTTTCACCACTGGACAGGTCTGTCAGTCAAAAAACTAATAAAGAAATAAGGGAATTTGTAGACTGAGGTTTCTGTCCTGCCCAGTTTCCGCAGTCATTAAGTCCCAAAAAAATCACACTGAGGTCTACATTAGTTATAAACTGACTGGCCTAGTAGTTCAGACTTCTTATTAACTCTTATAACTTACATTATCCCATTATTCTTATCTATGTTAGCCACGTGGCTTGGTACCTTATTTAGCAAGGCAGTCATATCTTGCTTCTGTGTCTGGATCACGACTGCAGACTGTGTCTCCTTCTTCCCAGCATACTTGTTGCCTACCTCTACTTCCTGCCTGGATGCCCCATCTATACTTCTTGCCTGGCTACTGGCCAATCAGCATTTATTTAAAATATGTGATGGTACAGGCCATTGATCCACATCAAGAATTAACAGATTTTATGACTCAAATGGACTTAACAGACATCTATAGAACATTTCATCCAAACATAAAAGAATGTACATTCTTCTAAGCACTAAAAGAACTGTCCAAAAATTGAACATACTAGGTAACAAAGAGGACCTCAACAGATATAAAAATATTGGAATAACCCCATATATCTTATCAAATCACAATGGCTTAAAATTAAAATTCAACAGCAATGCTAATTCCAGAAGGCCCACAAATACCTGGAAACTCTGAGATTACATCTTATACCTGTAAGAATGGCCAAGATAAAAAGCACTGATGACAACTTACACTGGAGAGGATGTGGGGTAAGGGGAACACGCCTTCATTGCTGATGGGATTGCAATTGGTACAGACCCTTTGGATGTCAGTATGGGTATTTCTTAGAAAATTAGGAAACAACCTACCTCAAGATCCAGAAATACCACTTTTGGGTATATGTCAAAAGGATGTTCAATTGTACCACAAGGACATGTGCTCAACTATGTTCACAGCAGCATTGTATGTCACAGCCAGAATCTGGAAACAACCTATATGCCCCTTGACTGAAGAATGGGTAATTAAAATGTGGTACATTTACATAATGGAGTACTACACAGCAGAAAAAAATAATGACATCTTGAAATTTACAGGCAAATGGATGGATCTAGAAAACATAATATTGAGTGAGGTAACCAAGAACCAGATAGACAAATATCATATGTACTCATAAGTGTCCTTTAGACACAAGGCAAAACTGGCCTACAATTCAAAATCCCAGAGAACCTAGGCAACAATGAGGACCATAAGAAAGACATTCATGGATCTACATGGAAAGTAGATAAAGACAACATCTGAGTAAATTGTGAGCATGGGGACCATGGTAGAGGGTTGAAGGGAGGGTAGAGAAAGAGAGGTGACCAGAGAAAGTGCATAACTCAATAAAATCAATAATAAAAAGCAAAGATAAAAAAATAAATAATTCTTTTGGTTTCCTGAGATGGAGATGGTTGGCAAGAAAATGCTGAGAGTTTCATTCTAACATTGTTTGACAAGACACTAATATTTACTGGAAGTCAGTCATTACATTAAAGTCATACTTAGTGAGATTGGAATGTACCAGTTTATGAAAAATTAGGCAAGAACCATTGGAAACTTACCACCATACACTGTAATATCTCAGGTATAAATCAGAAACATTGCCAATTAAAAATTTTGATAGGTATGTTCTTTGTGTCTTAAGGCATTCTATAATCATTTTCAATATCATATTCTCAGCCAATTTATTTAGAGAAGAATTGGGCCATGGAATAATTTATTCTGTTTTGAGTCTTCTTGGGCTCTTTCATGTTAGCTTCTAATTTCTCTTCCACTATGTCCTTCAGCAATGTCAAGAAAACAAAATAATATTGTCTACTCAGCCCTAGCATATTCTGAATGCTATTAAAACCATGACTCATCTTACTTCCGTTATATTTACTTTGTATTTTTCCCCTTTCTTCCTCATCAGGGTCTCATTATGTAGAAAGAGCTGGTTTCAACTTGAGATCCTTCTGCGTCAGTCTCATGGGTACTGAAATTTCAGATGTGAGCCACCTTACCTGGTGTCTTTAATAATCTTCATGTTGACCTCTTCAGTAAGTTTTTATTGAAATGTCTTTAGTATATACAGTGTGATAATAGTCAATAGAAATTATCTTTTATTGCATATTTAAACTCTTTTCTTTTGAGTTGCTCTTAAATATAATTCAATGTGTGAACAATTGATAGGTTTTCATTTACTGACATGAAGATAATCAGATATCAATTAGTTTCAACATGGGAAAAAATGGATGATAACTATCTGGGTGCAGAAAATTGTAGAGAGAGAATTTTGAGGAATACCAAGTGGCACTGAAAAAGAAAAGATGAAAATTGAGACATTTTAATCATTATGCAATAGGAACACATGATACTGAAATTCAATTTTGCTGAGAACTGGGATCAGATACTATATGGCTGCTAAATTTAATCTGGAGAAAATGTAGGAGAGAAAAAAATTAGGTGTGTCAGTGACTTGTCCTGTGTTTTTAACATTTTCTTATATTATTGTATGGGAAAACATTCCCATAACTATCCTCTATCCACTCAAGAGAAACAAAAGATTCAGTATCTTCTACTGTGTGCTTTTTAAATGTCAGATTTGGGCAATTTCTACTTTTTCACCCTCCCTGGTTCCCTTTTGTTTTGCTTTTTAAAACAATGAAGAACTTATTTTGTTAGTTCTGGAGGCATTTAATTTTTCAGATACTATTAAAGGGACATGGGACCATCCTACTGGAGATTGAATTTTTTTAAAAAGATTTATTTATTATGTATACAACATTCCTTCCATGTATGCTTGCATACCAGAAGAGGGCACCAGATCTCATTATAGATGGCCGTGAACCACCATGTGGTTGCTGGGAATTGAACTTAGGACCTCTGGAAGAGCAATCAGTACTCTTAACCTCTGAGCCATCTCTTCAGCCCCCTGGAGATTCAATTTGACAGCAAAAATAAAGCTATTCATTTTTTCTTCCAGTTTATAAAACAAAATATAAAGACTATATGCCCTGTTCTAAATACATGAAAAACTCTCTGAAATAACTATATACACTCAGGAAAATAATGAAAGGCTGTTCACTGATAACACACATTGGTCTTCAGTTAATCCCATGAATTGTAGACATTATTAGTTTACACATGTAGGCATTAATTTACATATGTAAGGAATCTGAGAGAAGCAAAATTGTGAAAAAGCAAGTGGGTATTATATGGCAGACAACAGGGTAGGAGTTGCAGGTGATGCAGAATGCTCCTGTTGACTAGATACCCTTAAATGAGGTAGTTGACATTTGGGTGCATATTAAGGGAGGTCCTAGTATACAAAAACCCACTTTAGGAGATTCCTGTGGAATGCTGACTTTGGGCTTCTGTTTACTTGGTCAGAGTCCTTCTGTTTAGGACATTGTCTCCAGCACTGCCATTTTGGGGGTTCCACGTTTGACCTAAAAATATTTACCCGGAATTATGCATCCCACAACACCAGAGATTTAAGAAAGGTAAATTAGAACAGGAAGAATAATCCAAATGGCCTATTTAGCAATAAAAATGCCAAGATGCAGATGCTTGTTCACCAAGATTGACCAGCTGCTGGATTCCATTCCCAGCCATTAGGTCTCAATTCTATGGCAAATTTCACAAAATACCACAGTATGACAACTATCCATTAGGCTCATTTCTCTACTAGGGAACATGCCTCTAAAGAATAATTCAAGAGTGCAACACGGGGTGACAACCACCATTAAGTCCTGGGCTTCCCTAAGGCCTGCCATAAAGGTTTCTTCTTAAGCAAAGTGTAATTCTGTCAGGTGGGCATGATGACCTCAGGTAATAACTACTGAAAATTGAACAGCATTAGTTAACTAAAATAATTCTAAAAATATGCAACATATTTGTTGTATACTTTACCACATGTGTAACTGGCTCAATGGAGTTGCAGTCTCTTTTCTCTGGGTCCATGACCTTAAAGAGATTTAAGGATAACAGTGTTTGTGGAATGCAAGAGCCTAAGGTAGATCTCTTAAGCACAGTAATTTAAGTTTAAAACATAATTTAGGATGTCTAATTATTCAAAGCCTCCCAACACTGGAAGCTTAGAGGATGAACTGAGCTGGGGCTTTTGAATTTCATGACTGAGGAACTCTTTTCACAGATATGCCATTTCTGATTGAAACATAATCCAGAAGTTAACCATCACAGAGTATGAGTACCTTATAAGGTAGTTCATATGTGCCACTTTCATATTGAGAGCACCAGATAAATGAAAATGAGAGCATGATCACTACTAGGTTTGATTGAGGGAAAGATTTTATTGTAGATATGAGCCACAGGCATCTGGAAGGGTTCGACTGAACCAGACCATGATAGGCTTTGTACCATATACATTACACACATCTGATCCCATATGGGTCTTCCAGGTTCTCTGCCTCAAGTTTAAGATCCTTCTGCTTCATTCACCTGAGTACTGCAATTAGAGAAATGTATTTCCATACCTTGCCTGTTTTCCTTTTCTTTTTCTAAATGTTTTTATTTTTGTTTTATTTTGTATCTCTCTTCAAGTTGTTGAAGATGAAAACTAAGCCATCTGCATACTAGGGAACTGAGATACTTTTGATGTGTGACCTATTGAATACATGAAGTGCAGGACTTATTGTCCAATATTGTCTGAAGTATAGGAAATATGTAATGAAAATGAAATTGAAAAGTCACTTCAACATAGCGAATATAAAAGCAATTAGAAAAGTTCTTTCAATATAAGGAAATTGAAGAAAAATGTAAATATGCAGGGAAAATATAAGTGTATGATTGAGTTTTTGAATTGATATTTGGGATTAAGACATGATAAAGCTAGAAGGCTAGAGAGGATTGAGAAAGCTAATGTAGCCATAGTGAGATTTCCTTTAAAAATTTTCAAACTATCCTTTGTATCAAAGAGAGCAGGATAGTCTGAGAAAATGTCTTTGAATTCTACAAGCTATCAATGCTTATCTAAACATTTCCCTGGGTCTGTAAAATGAAATTATGACAAGGTACAGGGGAGATGTCCATAAAAACAGATTCCTTTTTTAGAAATTTTGAGAGGATATCAATTACTATCAGCTGGGAAAGATGCAATGGAAAAGGCATGATGTGGGATTTCCCTTTGTAGGCTAGGAATGTGTTTTACTACCATTTGTTAATAAAAGAAGCTGCTTCAGCCTATAGCATGGCGGAATATAGTCAGGATGCAAGAGATATAGAGAGTAGGCAGAGTCAAAGAGAGATGCCATGTAGCTGCTGAAGGAAACAGACATCCAGGAACCTTAACGGTAAGCCATGAGCCTCGCGGTAAAATATAAATTAATAGAAATGGGTTAATTTAAGAGTTAGTTCACAAAAAGCCTAAGTTAAAAGGCCAAGAAGTATTGCAATTAATATAGTTTCTGTGTAATTATTTTGGGTCTGGGCAGTCGTGAAATGAACAAGCAGTCTCCGCCCTCAAAGACACTGTAAGCAGTGGTGGTGGAAACAGCAGATTTGGGCAGTAAACCATATAAAATATTTGGAATAAAATACAATTCTCCATGAATGATTTTGAAACTCATTATTGTAACTATGCTTGCTTTTTTCCAGGGAGAAACTGTAAATTATCTGAAACCAGAGAACTTAACAGCCACTTCAAATTTCATCCTTTTGTGACTTTCAAAAGAAGATGATATCTAACCACTTCTATTTGGACTGTTTCTGTTAATTTGCTTGGTCTGCATCATAGGAAACCTGTTTATCATCCTGGCCATTGGCTCTGACTTCCACCTCTGGACCCCAATGTATTTCTTCCTTTGTAACCTATCTTTCACAAACATTTGTTTCATCTCCACCATAGTTCTCAAGATGTTAGTGAACATTGTCCATCACCTATGAAGTCTGCCTCACCCAGATGTATTTTTTCATGTTTTTTTTTTTCTGGATTGGATAGTTTGTTACTGACAGTAATGTTCTAAGACCAGTGTGTGGCCATATGTCACCCCTTGTGCTACATAAACCCTCTCCTTTGTGGTCTTCTGCTTCTACTATCTTGGCTAATCTGTCTGACCTATTCATTGTTACAAACATTAATGTCTTTGAGGGTGTGTTTCTGCAAGAAAACAGAAATCCATCACTACTTCTGTGAACCTGCTCAGATTCTCAAGCTTGCTTGCTCAGGTACCCATGCCAATGATGTCTTGCTCTACCATGGAACAGGTTTGCTAGGTATTCTTTTCTCTTACTCTAAATCATCAACTCCATAGTGTGCCTTTTATCTAAAGGGGGGAAATATAAAGCCTTTTTTACTTGTGGGTCCCATCTTTCAGTAGTCTCACTGTTCTATGGTACAGGCCTTGGTGTCTACCTCACTTCTCAAACATCCTATACCTCCAGAGAGTGTTCGGTTACCTCAGTGATGTATTCTGTGGTATTTCTCATGTTGAACCCCTTCATCTACAGCCTGAGGAATAGGGACCTGAGTCAGGCTTTTAGAAGACATTTTTATAGCATTGGAGAGAGATCCCAGTATGATAATAGAATAATGGATACATTAATCTAGGGTATAATAATTAGTGTATTCCTTAAAAAGTTACGTTCTTCTGAAGTCTTAAGATACAAAAAAGAAATACTACTCATGAAATGAGTCCACAGCCAAAAATAATCATGGAAACAACTAAAATTAATCATGGGTCACCAGTAACTATACTTACTATGCAAACATTTTCAAGGATATATATTTGTAAGGATGGGAGAATCAAGTAGAAAACACAGCAAGTAAGAGAAATGAGATGTATACATACACATCATTGACTCAGTGTCTCTAAGTCATTGTTGTCTTCTGCACAATGCTTGCTGGGCACTTTTTCTTAGGCCTCTGTCTGGAAAATAATTTTACTAAGAATGTCTCAAAATAACTTCTATTTTTTCCTACAAAATGTAATTACTGAGCCTTGCTATGGTTATTATTATTATTAGTCATGATGGTGTAGCTCAGTGGCAGAACTCTTGTTTACTGTGTAAGAAACATGGGCTTGATATCCAATTTCTCAAAATAAAAGAGCAAATGGCAGTTACTACTGACTTATGAGAAACTCATTATAATTTTGTTTTAATCAAAATTCTGGGGCTAGGATATAGTTAGTGGTAGATACAGTGCAAGCATCTCTCTCTCTCTCTCTCTCTCTCTCTCTCTCTCTCTCTCTTACACACACACACACACACACAATTCACAAATTCTCACTTCTCACATATATGATATATTATATACATATATATCAACATATTATAATAGGTATGAAAGTACAGAGTGCCTACTAATGAAAAAGTGGAACAGAAAAATCAGGAATTCAAAGTCAACCTGAAGTTCACAGTGGTGAATAAAGCATAGAAAATAATTTGCTCAATATTGTTCTTGCTCCCCTCGTGGTCCCGACTTCTTTGCTCATGTTCTCCCTCCTTCCGCTCCTCATCGGGACCTTGGGAGCTCAGTCCAGTGCTCCAGTGTGGGTCTCTGTCTCTGTCTCCATCCATCACCAGATGAAGGTTCTATGATGATATGCAAGATATTCGTCATTATTGCTCTAGGATAGGGTCAATTCAGGTTCCCCATCCTCAGCTGCCCAAGGAACTAACTGGGGACCTCGGCTTGGGTATCTGGGAGCCACTCTAGGTTCAAGTCTCTTGCCAACCCTAAGGTGGCTCCCTTAACTAAGAACCGTGCTTCCGTGCAAACCACCCACCCACTGAGACAGTGGAGCTGATCTATTGGGAGCTCACCAAGGCCAGCTGAACTGTGACGGAAAAAGCATGGGATAAAACTGGATTCTCTGAGCATGGCGAACAATGAGGGCTGATGAGAACCCAAGGACAATGGCACGGGGTTTTGAACCTACGTAATGTGCTGGCTTTGTGGGAGCCTAGCCAGTTTGGATGTTCACCTTCCTAGAAATGCACGGAGGGGGGAGGACCTAGGACTTACCACAGGGCAGGGAAATCTGACTGCTCTTTGGACTGGAGAGGGAGGGGGAGAGGAGTGGGGGGGGAGGGGGAGAAGGGTGGGAGGAGGGGGAGGGAAATGGGAGGCTGGGAGGAGGAGGAAATTTGTTTTTTTTTTCTTTTCTCAATAAAAAAAAGTTAAAAAAAAAGCAAAAATAAAACAAAAAGAAAACTCCAAAAAAATAAAATAAAATAAAGTTGTACATTAGTCTTAAAATATTATATGCAGAAACGATTTGTATTAAAGCAATATTTTATCAATTGAAATCTTAGTATAATTTGATTTCTGCATTTCTTATATGCTACTAAATAGTGTTTTTGGTTCAATCCCACACTACACTGAACTCACACTATAGTGATCTTAAAAATCCAGAAGAGATTCTGACAGGTACCTCTTAATGAAAAATGCCCAAAGATTTGAAAATAATAAACAATTTTTAATAATATAAAAAAATATTGTTCTTGCTTAGCTATACTTTCTCAAAACTTCACATTTAGTTCCTTTTCACAAACATGAAATAAAAGTTGAGTTGCACTTATGAACTTACAACAGCTATGATTACCTACAAAAGATCAAGCCAGTCAACATTCCAGCATAGATGGGGGAGGGATTTGTGAGGCCACACTTCAAAGTGAAGAGTTATTGTGAGTTTATGGCAAATAGTGGTGGGGGCAGCGTTCATCTTTCCTTGGTGGTTTGGGAATTGGTAGGTCATCCATTCCTAGATTGCCCACACCCACAGCATGTATGTAGCACTAAGACAATTGGGTAAAAAAAAAAAAAACCTTGAATATGTGTGGGAGACATGTAGAGGAGGATTTGGTAATGGGAATGAGAGAAGTTGAGAGTGGTCTAATCAAGATATAATATATAAATGTATGGAACTGTCAACTAAATACCTTAGAAAACCTAAAAGTAGCTCCATACAAGAATTCTATATCAACGAACTGATAGGACAAAGCATCTTTTATATATCTTTAAATTTATAGGGAAATGCTCTGGAACAGATGCTGTGGTAGCTGGAATGTAATTGCTGCCCTCCCCCGTAAGCTCATAGGGCATTATTAGGATGTGGCTTTGTTGGAGCATGTGTGGTCTGGTTGGAGGAAGTGTGTCACCATGGGATGGGATTTAAGGTCTCATGTGCTCAAGATACCACCCAGTGTTACAGACCGCTTCCTGTTGCCTTCTGATCAAGATGTAGCCAGCACCATGTCTGCCTCCATGGTCCCTGACATGATGATAATGGACTGAACTTCTGAACTGTAATAGGCCACCTCAATTAAATGTTTTTCTTTATAAGATTTGTCGTGGTCATGGTGTCTCTTTGCAACAATAGACACCTTAAGACAGATCCCAAAACTGAAGCCTACCCGGAGTTGGCTTGAGGAATGCTGAGCCACCCTCTTGGTGAGAAGTGGGTATAGACTTGGGCAAATTCAAAAGTTTTACTTGTAATTTTATCATTTATTAGAGAAATTCCTGTCTCTCAGCAACAATTATTGGATTGAATAGAGAATCAGCATTATGTGTCTGATACATATATCCTTGATAAGTGGCAGGTGTTTTTGTGAACATTGTGTTTATTTAACCTTCTATTACATGTCAATAAGAGGCAGGTCAAATGACAGACCCTGTATTCTTGAAAGCTGTGCCCAGACACATTATCAAAGAAGCACCCAAGAGTTAGACAGAAACTGAGTGACCCTTAGGAAAAAAGGTTTATTCAGTAAAATAAAATCTCACCCTTCATACAAAGATCTCTTGGCATTGGCAAGTGTCTGAAATTAGGTGTAAAAAGATGTTCACCCTCATGTGCACAGACTGTTCACCTTGATCTCTTCTGTTCTAGAAATTATTGCTCTACTACAGTATTTATGAATGAGGACACTACAGGTATTTGAGGTCTGGTAACTGTCATCCCCCCCCCCCCCCCGTGGCACAGCCTTCCCTGAGTGTTCTCTGATATTTAGGTATTTAACATAGTTTATAGTCCCAATTCATTTTATGACATTAACAGGTGCTCTTTTCTCATTAAATCATGGCTACTCGCCCAAAATGCCTCTAGCGTACTCTCAGAGCACAATCTCTTTTGGTAGGAACTACTGATCTATCATGAATCAGAAGTTAGAAAATGGTACAAGCAATAAAAATAAAGTCAAGGGGTATCCAAACAACTAAACCCCAAACAAGATACACTAAGATACTGGCCTCTAATCATGAATTCTTGCCTGGAGAAGAGCTGAGATTTAGAAGCAATACCAAAGTTTTTTTTTTTAATTTTTTATTGAGAAAAAGAAAAAAAAGTTTCCGCCTCCTCCCAGCCTCCCATTTCCCTCCCCCTCCTCCCAACCTTCTCCCCCTCCGCCCACTCCTATCCCCCTCCCTCTCCAGTCCAAAGAACAGTCAGGGTTCCCTGCCCTGTGGAAAGCCCAAGGTCCTCCCCCCTCCGTCCAGGTCTAGGAAGGTGAACATCCAAACTGGCTAGGCTCCCACAAAGCCAGAACATGAAGTAGGATCAAAACCCCGTGCCATTGTCCTTGGCTTCTCATCAGCCCTCATTGTTCGCCATGTTCAGAGAGTCCAGTTTTATCCCATGCTTTTTCAGTCAGCTGGCCTTGGAGAGCTCCCAATAGATCAGCCCCACTGTCTCAGTGGGTGGGTGCACCCCTCGTGGTCCTGACTGCCTTGCTCATGTTCTCCCTCCTTCTGCTCTTCATTTGGACCTTGGGAGCTCAGACCCTTGCTCCAGTGTGGGTCTCTGTCTCTATCTCCATCCAAAACCAGATGAAGGTTCTATGGTGATATGCAAGATATTCGTCAGTATTGCTATAGGATAGGGTCATTTCAGGTTCCCTATCTTCAGCTGCCCAAGGAACTAACTGGGGACATCGCCTTGGGCTCCTGGGAGCCACTCTACGTTCAAAGCTCTTACCAAGCCTAAGGTGGCTCCCTTAACTAAGATTTGTGCTTCCATGCTCCCCTATCCAACCTTCCTTTATCCCAATCATCCTGTTTCCCCAAGTTACCCCCATCCTCCCCTTCTCCCTTTTCTCTCCCCATCTCCCCTTACCCCCATCCCACCCCACCCCCAAGATCCCAATTTTTTTACCCGGCAATTTTGTCTACTTCCCATAGCCAGGAGGATAACTATATGTTTTTCTTTGGGTTCACCTTCTTATTTAGCTTCTTTAGGATCACAAATTATAGACTCAGTGACCTTTATTTATGGCTAGAAACCAATTATGAGTGAGTACATCCCATGCTCATCTTTTTGGGTCTGGGTTACCTCACTCAGGATAGTGTTTTCTATTTCCATCCATTTGCATGCAAAATTCGAGAAGTCATTGTTTTTTACCGCAGCGTAGTACTCTAATGTGTAGATATTCCACACTTTCTTCATCCATTCTTCCATTGAAGGACATCTAGGTTGTTTCCAGGTTCTGGCTATTCCAAATAATGCTCTATGAACATAGTTGAACAAATGCTTTTGTCATAAGATCGGGCATCTCTTGGGTATATTCCCAAGAGTGGTATTGCTGGGTCCAGGGGTAGATTGATCCCGAATTTCCTGAGAAACCGCCACACTGATTTCCAAAGTGGTTGCACAAGTTTGCATTCCCACCAGCAATGGATGAGGGTACCCCTTTCTCCACAACCTCTCCAGCAAAGGCTATCATTAGTGTTTTTGATTTTAGCCAATCTGACAGGTGTAAGATGATATCTCAAAGTTGTTTTGATTTGCATTTCCCTGATTGCTAAGGAGGTTGAGCATGACCTTAAGTGTCTTTTGGCCATTTGAACTTCTTCTGTTGAGAAATTTCTTTTCAGTTCAGTGCCCCATTTTTTAATTGGGTTAATTAGCATTTTAAAGTCTAGTTTCTTGAGTTCTCTATATATTTTGGAGAACAGACCTTTGTCTGTTGCGGGGTTAGTGAAGATCTTCTCCCAGACAGTAGGTTGCCTTTTTGTCTTAGTTACAGTGTCCTTTGCTTTACAGAGCTTCTCAGTTTCAGTAGGTCCCATTTATTCAATGTTGCCCTTAATGTCTGTGTTGCTGGGGTTATACATAGGAAG